CAAGGAACCCCTAGCAATCTCTGGAGGAACCCTGGTTAAGGAACCCCTAGCAATCTCTGGAGGAACCCTGGTTAAGGAACCCCTAGCGATCTCTGGAGGAACCCTGGTTAAGGAACCCCTAGCGATCTCTGGAGGAACCCTGGTTAAGGAACCCCTAGCGATCTCTGGAGGAACCCTGGTTAAGGAACCCCTAGCAATCTCTGGAGGAACCCTGGTTAAGGAACTCCTAGCAATCTCTGGAAGAACCCTGGTTAAGGAACTCCTAGCAACCTCTGGAGGAACCCTAGTTGAGATACCCCGCTCTATTATGTTTCCTCCATGATTACTCATGTAGATTATATCTCAGACACAATCCAGACAATAAAAAAAAATGTAAACCTATGTTTTGCTTATGTTTTAATATGTATAAATGTAAAACTAAATAACGAAAACCAAAGTAAAAATTGAAATACAACATCATGGGTTGAATCCAAACAGGTTTTTTTTTCGATTTAGTTGCCGGGACTGCAGTACGGTGAATAAAGAGATTGGCAGTGAGACTGTCTGCAGTAAAGTGGAAGGAACTCAGTTGGGGGAGCCACTGTGGACTTTCCTCTATGCCCTGTGCTGTATAGTGGGGTGGGGGTGAGGGGGAGAAACAAAACATGTGATGTTTACTATCTCTGTGCATGCACTGGTGCATATAAAAAACAATTTCTGATTTAGGTATGGTAGGGGTGACCACAACTCTACCAGCACCAGGGTCATTTTAAGGAGATATGTCTCTGAAAACCTCCATAGATCTCAGTGTGCCAGAACTAGAGGTTACTCAGGACAAGTATAGTGCTGCCCTGGTGGGCAAGAGCGTATCTGCAAGGGGTATTACCAATACACTTTTGGGTGGGGCTAACTGGCCCATACGCTTTGGGCATCCTCTCTCCTCTGCTGCACACACTCATGCCCAAGACAAGGAGGTGCTGCGTTCAACACTAAGGCGGCACCCTAAATTATAAGTGATCCACGCAACTGTTTTTCCACTTAAGGCTCCATACCTTGAACCATGTGGTCCCATGATGCAGCACACCGTGTCACTTGGAATGTGGCATTCTGAAGGGGACACCGCTAATGCTGGATCCCGTTCCACCAATTCAACCCTCCTATCACCTAGCTCTCAGTGATGCTGTACAGGTTCCACCACATAACAACGTGAACCTCCTGCACGTTCATCTTCACTTGGATAGCTCTTCCGTTTAGATGGTTAGGTCCCTGAGGTCTCTGTCTCGGGGATTTGGTCCTGGTAGCTGGGGCACTTGCCATTCCGGAGGGAGACAGTGTACCGCTTCCTTCACTATGCAGAGGTCCCACCACCCTTGCCGGTACTGTTCTCCTCCTGTCTGGCTGCCATATCATTCTCTTGCACTTGCTGTCCTTAGCAACGGCATGTTCTCAAGACTGTCCATAATTTTAAAGGGTGCCTCAGGACTGTCCTATCCATAATTTTAAAGGGTGCCTCGGGACTGTCCATAATTTTAAAGGGTGCCTCGGGACTGTCCATAATTTTAAAAAGGGTGCCTCGGGACTGTCCATAATTTTAAAGGGTGACTCGGGGACTGTCCATAATTTTAAAGGGTGCCTCAGGACTGTCCATAATTTTAAAGGGTGCCTCGGGACTGTCCATAATTTTAAAGGGTTCCTCAAGACTGTCCATAATTTTAAAGGGTGCCTTGGGACTGACCATAATTTTAAAGGATGCCTCGGGACTGACTATAATTTTAAAGGGTGCATCAAGACTGTCTATAATTTTAAAGAGTGCCTCAAGACTGTTTATAATTTTAAAGGGTGCCTCAAGACTGTCCATAATTTTAAAGGATGCCTCAAGACCGTCCATAATTTTAAAGGGTGCCTCAGGACTGTCCATAAGTGCCTCAAGACTGTTTTTTAAGGATGCCTGTCCTTAATTTTTAAAGACTGTCCATAATTTTAAAGGGTGCCTCAAGGACTGTCCATAATTTTAAAGGGTGCCTCAAGACTGTCCATAATTTTAAAGGGTGCCTCGGTACTGTCCATAATTTTAAAGGGTGCCTCAAGACTGCCTTGACCGAAAAAATGCCAGAGTTGTCTGTGTTCAGCAGTGGGAGTGAGACTATAGGCGCAGTTGCAAACCAAAGGAGTGCTGGCCAGATAGTAGACGTAGGCGCGCTTGCTGAAGAAGCCAATATCCATCATGGATCAGAGGACCTAAGGCAGGATGAAGAAACAGCAGAAACCTGATCCATGAAATGCCCCTACCTCTAGAAGAAGCCTCTTAGGGTGGGAAAATTCAATAAACAGCCTGGATATTTATAACTCTCCAGCCAATCACGGAGAGGAGTGTCCAGTAGGGGCTGGAGAGGGGATAAATAGTCTGAAGCCCATGGGCTGCTTGAGAGACTGCTGCCTTTAGGCAGCCCACAAACTATGCAGGTGTTCTGGAGGCCTCAACGGTGTCAGGGCTCAGAGCCTAGGGTAACCTTGGTAGAAGTTGATTGCAGGACTTCACCACAAGGGATCAGGACCGTCTCACTCACTAGACTTTGTCCAGAGGAAGGTGGTAGGTGTCCTGGGGACTTGTAAGTAATGACCCCTCAATGAATCCCTGTGTGGTGTTCTGGATTGCAGTGGGTATCAGCAGTTCTCAATTCTTGTAAGGCAACCAAATGCCAAAACAAATTGTCTCATGGTCCTCAGCGGTCAGGTCCTAGACTGCTCAGGAAACCAATTAGACAGCTAGTGTGGATGTGGAGCCCTGAATGCAGACAAGGTGCGCTCAGAGCTGTGCAAATGGGAAGCTGCGGCTGTGATTTATATCACAGGCTAGAAATTTCACTGCCAAAGGATTCTACCATCCACACTACATTCTCTCTGACAGCTCTCCTCCCCCCACCATCCACACTATATTTTCTGACAGCTCTCCTCCACCATCTACACTATATTCTCTGACAGCTCTCCTCCACCATCTACACTACATTCTCTGACAGCTCTCCTCCACCATCCACACTGCATTCTCCGACAGCTCTCCTCCCACCATCCACACTACATTCTCTGACAGCTCTCCTCCCCCCAACATCCACACTACATTCTCTGACAGCTCTCCTCCCACATCCACGCTACATTCTCTGACAGCTCTCCTCCCCCCACCACCATCCACACTACAATCTCTGACAGCTCTCCTCCCCCCACCACCATCCACACTACAATCTTTGACAGCTCTCCTCCCACCACCATCCACACTACATTCTCTGACAGCTCTCCTCCACCATCCACACTACATTCTCTGACAGCTCTCCTCCACCATCCACACTACATTCTTTGACAGCTCTCCTCCCCCCACCATCCACACTACATTCTCTGACAGCTCTCCTCCCCCCACCATCCACACTACATTCTCCGACAACTCTCCCCCACCATCCACACTACATTCTCTGACAACTCTCCCCCACCATCCACACTACATTCTCTGACAGCTCTCCCCCACCATCCACACTACATTCTCTGACAGCTCTCCTCCACCATCCACACTACATTCTCTGACAGCTCTCCTCCCCCACCATCCACACTAATTCTCTGACAGCTCTCCTCCACCATCCACACTACATTCTCTGACAGCTCTCCTCCCACCATCCACACTACATTCTCTGACAGCTCTCCTCCACCATCCACACTATATCCTCTGACAGCTCTCCTCCACCATCTACACTACATTCTCTGACAGCTCTCCTCCACCATCTACACTACATTTCTCTGACAGCTCTCCTCCACCATCCACACTGCATTCTCCGACAGCTCTCCTCCCACCATCCACACTACATTCTCTGACAGCTCTCCTCCCCCCAACATCCACACTACATTCTCTGACAGCTCTCCTCCCACATCCCATGCTACATTCTCTGACAGCTCTCCTCCCCCCACCACCATCCACACTACAATCTCTGACAGCTCTCCTCCCCCCACCACCATCCACACTACAATCTTTGACAGCTCTCCTCCCACCACCATCCACACTACATTCTCTGACAGCTCTCCTCCACCATCCACACTACATTCTCTGACAGCTCTCCTCCACCATCCACACTACATTCTTTGACAGCTCTCCTCCCCCCACCATCCACACTACATTCTCTGACAGCTCTCCTCCCCCCACCATCCACACTACATTCTCCGACAACTCTCCCCCACCATCCACACTACATTCTCTGACAACTCTCCCCCACCATCCACACTACATTCTCTGACAGCTCTCCCCCACCATCCACACTACATTCTCTGACAGCTCTCCTCCCACCATCCACACTACATTCTCTGACAGCTCTCCTCCCACCATCCACACTACATTCTCTGACAGCTCTCCTCCCACCATCCACACTACATTCTCTGACAGCTCTCCTCCACCATCCACACTACATTCTCTGACAGCTCTCCTCCCACCATCCACACTACATTCTCTGACAGCTCTCCTCCACCATCCACACTATATCCTCTGACAGCTCTCCTCCACCATCGATAACCCCCCAAAACAAGAAACCTCAAACCAAGGGCCTGATATTAAATCTGAAAAATATTAAAATAGTATATTATAACATGTTTGAAGAATCAAAATCTGATTTAGGCCACCAACCCCTATATGAAATCATAAAAACGGACGTGCTCAGGTTGAAATATATAGAACAAAATAAACTTTATTAATCATATAGTAAAAAACAAGAGCGAAAACAACCATGTGTATTTTCATAGGGATTTAGATACCGCATCAATCCGCCAGTATATCACCGACAAGAAGGAGTAACCTCGTGTGGGAAAACCTCAATCTGTTTAATGTGATTGAAACATTTCCTGCACCCTGAGCATGAATTAGTACGCTAACCTGTGTGCTTTTTCTGGTGTCTTGCAAGGTCTTTTTTACGAAAGAAGGATTTGTCGCACTCTAAACATGGAAAAGGACGTTCACCTGTGTGAATTCTCTGATGGTCAATAAGGCTTCCTTCCTGAGTAAATGATTTCCCGCACTCTGAACACGCGTAAGGACGCTCGCCTGTGTGAATTTTCTTGTGTTTAAGGAGATGTTCATTCCTGCCGAAACATTTCCCACACTCTGAACATGAATAAGGGCGTTCGCCTGTGTGTATTCTCTGATGTCTATGAAGGTCCTTCTTTTCGTTGAAAGATTTCCCGCACTCTGAACATGAATAAGGACGTTCACCTGTGTGAATTCTCCGATGTACATTAAGTGATTCTTTTTGAAGGAAACTTTTGCCGCAATCTGAACAAAGGAAAGGACGTTCACCTGTGTGAATTCTCCGGTGTATAGTAAGTGATTCTTTTTGAAGGAAACTTTTGCCGCAATCTGAACAAAGAAAAGGACGTTCACCTGTGTGAATTCTCTCGTGTCTAACAAGGTATTTTTTACAAATGAAAGATTTCCCGCACTCTAAACATGAGTAAGGACGCTCACCGGTGTGAATTTTCTGGTGTTTAAGGAGATGTTCATTCCTACAGAAACGTTTCCCGCACTCTGAACATGAATAAGGCCGTTCCCCCGTGTGCATTCTCTGGTGTCTAATAAGTTTCCCTTTTTGAAGGAAACATTTCCCGCACTCTGAACAGGTGAAAGGACACTCACCTGTGTGAATTCTTTGGTGTGCAAAAAGTTGTACTTTGCGAATGAAACATTTTCCGCACTCTGAACATGAATGAGGACGCTCACCCGTGTGAATTCTCCGATGTCTACGAAGGTCATTCTTTTAACGAAAGATTTCCCGCATTCCGAACATGAATAAGGGCAATCACCTGTGTGTATTCTCTGGTGGGAAGTAAGCGATTCTTTTTGAGAGAAACATTTCCCGCACTCTGAACAAGAGAAAGGACGCTCCCCTGTGTGAATTCTTTGATGGGAAATCAGGTGCGTTTTCCGAGTTAAGCATTTCCCGCAGACTGGACATGAAAATGGATGCTCACCTGTGTGAGTTCTTTGGTGTGCAATAAATTGTGCTTCCTGAGTGAAAGATTTCCCGCACTCTGAACATGAATAAAGATGCTCACCTATGTGAACTCTCTGGTGTCTAACAAGGTGTCCTTTCTGAGTGAAAGACTTCCCGCACTCTGAGCATTGATAGGGGCGCTCACCCGTGTGAATTTTCTGGTGTACAATAAGTCGTCCTTTCTCAGTGAAAGATTTCCCGCACTCTAAACATGAGTAAAGATGCTCACCCGTGTGAACTCTCTGGTGTCTAACAAGGTGTACTTTCTGAATGAACGATTTCCCGCACTCTGAACATGAATAAAGATGTTCACCTGTGTGAACTCTCTGGTGTCTAACAAGGTGTCCTTTCTGAGTGAAAGATTTACCGCACTCTGAACACGAATAAGGACGCTCACCCGTGTGAATTCTCAGGTGTTTAAAAAGTGATACTTTTGTGGTGAAAGATTTCCCGCACTCTGAACATGAATATGAACGCTCTCCTGTGTTAACACACTTATGGGTTAAAGAAGATTTCTGGGGATTGGATGGATCTGTTGATCTGTCAGCACTGTGAGAACTTGGATCTGAAGTCATAGTATGGGATCTATCAGAAGGTTCCTCAGGATTAGAAGGACCCATTGATCTTAGATGGACATCTGGAGTCATAGTACAGGATTTATCAGAAGGTTCCTCAGGATTAGAAGGATCCATGGATCTAACCGACCAATAGGAATTCACTTTTGGAGAATATTGTGGAATGTCAGTATCTTCTGCCTTACAATCTGGAGATATAATAAGATGTCCCTCCGATGTATTTATATTCCGAGAACACTGTCCACCTGCTGGAAAGCAAAATTTAATACATCAGGTCTGTTCTCACACATCTTGTATTCAGAAGTCAGAGATCTATGGATAGCTTTCAGATCGTTCCCAGAGCTCTGGCATTGAATTGGGAGCAAATATACCAGAAAACTACAAATACAAACCAGATCAATGATACAAAACACCCAAAACACACTAAGCAACAGTATCTGTGCATTGGTGACAAGGCCATGGTGAGGAACGGGACTTTCCTCCACCGGCCCACAAGACCAGCTGGAGAGAACATGGTGGAGATTAAGCACTAGAGACCCTTGAGAATGTCCTATTGGATGAAATGTGCAGGGTGCAGTCTTAGCACTGAAATGTCCATCTCCATTCCTCAATATAACATCATGTTCCCAACAAATGAGGAGGAGATACTGGACACCATATGAAAGGTCCATCTCCATTCCTCAATATAACATCATGTTCCCAACAAATGAGGAGGAGATACTGGACACCATATGAAAGGTCCATCTCCATTCCCCAATATAACGTCATGTTCCCAACAAATGAGGAGGAGATACTGGACACCATATGAAAGGTCCATCTCCATTCCTCAATATAACGTCATGTTCCCTACAAATGAGGAGGAGATACTGGACACCATATGAAAGGTCCATCTCCATTCCTCAATATAACGTCATGTTCCCAACAAATGAGGAGATACTGGACACCATATGAAAGGTCCATCTCCATTCCTCAATATAACGTCACGTTCCCAACAAATGAGGAGGAGATACTGGACACCATATGAAAGGTCCATCTCCATTCCTCAATATAACGTCATGTTCCCAACAAATGAGGAGGAGATACTGGACACCATATGAAAGGTCCATCTCTATTCCTCAATATAACTGGAAGTGTTTCTAATATTTGTAATAAGCATCATTGTAGAATGTTGATCTGGGCAATTATCTGCCTCTTGGGATAAAGAAGGAATTCTTTTACCCCAATGAATTATGGACAGAGTGTTTGTGGCTTTCAGCCCTCCTCTGGATCAACTGCTACTTTGGATTCTCTTTTAACTTAATGGACATATGGTATATTTCACTCCATGTAACAATGTAACAACATGCTTTATACGGAAAGATGTAGCATCAAATGTGAACTATTTCTGCATTTAATGTTTATTACTTACTTGTGTCCAAATGTAGAGAAGGTTCCTCCTCTTCACATTTCACAATCATCTCCCCCTCCTCCATAGACTGCTGATCTCCACTCACCAACCTCTCTTCTTCTTCCTCTTTAATCTCAGCTTTGATGTCTTCCAGTTCTTTATCCTGAACCCCAAAGATTTATAAATATGAACAAGAGATTACATAGAAGAATGTCCGCTCACAGAATTATTTTTATGCTTTTTCGCCCAGTCCCATCTACCTGATCATTCTCTGTATAGTGGTGATTTTCCCATGTAGAATTCTGGGAAAACAGAGGACAACCCTCCTCCATAGACTGCTGATCTCCACTCACCAACGTCTCTTCTTCTTCCTCTTTAATCTCAGCTTTGATGTCTTTCAGTTCTTCACCCTAAACCCCAAATATTTGAAAATAGGAACAAGAGGTTACAATGAAGAATGTCCGCTCATAGAATTATTTTTTTTAAGTTTTAAGTTGCCAAGTCCAGTACCTGATCATTCACTTTATAATTGTGGTTTTCATCCTGAAAATCCTGGGGATACAGAGGACCTCTCTCCTCCATAGACTGACAATGTCTGGTCACCAACGTCTCTTCTTCTTCCTCTTTAACCTCAACTTTGAGGTCTCTCAGTTTCGTATCCTAAACCCCAAAGATGATAAATTTCAAGTGTAAAAAGGAACAAGAGATTACATAGAAGAATATCATCTCATACCTTAGAATACATTTTTTAAGCTTTCTGAGTCCCACCTACCTTATGATGGTGAGGGATGGTGTGACCTTCCTGTGTGGAATCCCGGGAATACAGAGGATGGGGACATCTCTCTGGTGGGTTCCCATGACTGGGTACATCTACCTGATTATGGTGAGGGATGGTGTGACCTTCCTGTGTGGAATCCCGGGAATACAGAGGGACGGGGACATCTCTCTGGTGGGTTCCCATGACTGGATCCACCTCCCTGATGATGGTGAGGGATGGTGTGACCTTCCTGTATGGAATCCCGGGAATACAGAGGACGGGAACATCTCTCTGGTGGGGTTCCCATGACTGGATCCATCTGTAGGAAACACACACACTGACTGAATCCATTGTTTCTATGTGTTTATCAGATGATGGGGGATCTAGGTGGAGCCTCCGTACTGATCTCTCCTTTACAATAAAGTCTCCTCTTACCCGGTAATGTGAGGGGCGGCTGATTGTCCATCATGACGTCCTTGTAGAGATCCTTGTGTCCTTCTAAATACTCCCACTCCTCCATGGAGAAATAGACAGTGACATCCTGACACCTTATAGGAACCTGACACACACAATGATACAGTCACCATCCAGACACATCCCTTGTCTGTTACTGGAGAATGTCCCAGAATTCCCGGCACCGCTCACCTCTCCTGTCAGCAGATCAATGATCTTCTGGGTGACTTCTAGGATCTTCTTGGCACTGGTTCCCTCTGTTGTCAGGCAGTGAGATGGAGGCACTGTGATGGGTGATGTCCTGTGAAGACGGCTGCTGGGGTGTTAATAGTTCACTATGTCTAATATATAAAAGACTCTGCTGTTTCTAGATAATAAACTGAGAATTATGTGGACTGTACTGAGATGAATAATGTCTACACAAAGTTCCTTCATACTGCTGACACCTCATACTGCTTTTCATAATATTTTCAAGGCCTCATTAATCACACTGAAAGAATTGCAGAGTCCCTTTAAAGTATAACACTAACCAAAGCCTTTCAATTGAAGTTCAGTTTGACTTGAGAAGAGTATTACTTTCTACTACTAAAGATTTCTCTTCACTTCCTTTCCAGGAGAAGACAAGCATAACAGGAGAGGGGGAAAAAAGAAAATGGGGACAAATAATAATCCGACAGAGGTTCTAATCTTTCGCTTCTCCATATAGAATGGCCTTGTTTTATTTCCGGTCTATAAACCAGAGGCTCTGGATGGACGGTTAGATAAATGGCTCTATATTTAGGATGTATCCGGTCTATAAACCAGAGGCTCTGGATGGACGGTTGGATAAATGGTTCTATATTTAGGACGTATCCGGTCTATAAACCAGAGGCTCTGGATGGACGGTTGGATAAATGGTTCTATATTTAGGATGTATCCGGTCTATAAACCAGAGGCTCTGGATGGACGGTTGGATAAATGGCTATATATTTAGAATGTATCCGGTCTATCTATATTTAGGGGTATTTGGTCTAAAACCAGAGGCTCTGGATGGACGGTTGGATAAATGGTTCTATATTTAGGGGGTATTTGGTCTATAAACCAGAGGCTCTGGATGGACGGTTGGATAAATGTGTTTTATATATTTAGGGGTATTTGGGTCTATAAACCAGAGCTCCGGATGGACAGTTGGATAAATGATTCTATAATTTAGGACGTATCTGGTCTATAAACCAGAGACTCTGGATGGACGGTTGGATAAATGGTTCTATATTTAGGACGTATCCAGTCTATAAACCAGAGGCTCTGGATGGACGGTTGGATAAATGGTTCTATATTTAGGACGTATCTGGTGTATAACCGAGAGGCTCTTGGATGGACAGTTGGATAAATGGTTCTATATTTAGGACGTATCCAGTCCATAAACCAGAGGCTCTGGAT